TCATCAGCATAAGATCCTCAGGGTTTTAGGATTTACTGCCAACTACTGAGACATCTGATACTCCCTATGAACCCAATAAATAGTGGCAAGCTCAGGGTGCCTTGTCTTTGCTTATCAGAGCAGCATTGATCAGGCCCAAAGCTCAGCTTCTTCTCTAAGTCTCATTAATTTGCCTGTGTTGTCCTGGCTCACAGGAGACCAGAACTCACTGCACGGGTTCTGGTAACGTACCCTTTCCCTGTTCCCTACATGGTACCACAGAAGTGGGGTCACTGCTGTGACTATATTCCTGACGGTGATAGTTAACTCATTGTGCCAACTTGACTAAGAAATACCCAACTAAGTTGGATCAGCATAGTTCTGAGTGTGGCTGGGGGGATTTACTGAAGACCCACCCTATAGCAGTTTGTCATCTGAACAGCATAAAAGGGAAATGAAGAAGAAAAGCTTGCTTCTGTTTCTTTGGAGGAGCTCAAGTCTTCATTTTCACCTTGGATATCATCTCTTGGCTTTCAGGGCAGACTCTTCAGACCTTCCAGTGCAGGCTCTTCAGGCTCCAGCACAGATCCTTAAGCCTTCTGGTGCAGAACTCTCAGCCTTCCATTGCAGACTGTCCAGCCTCCTGATAAAATACACTGAGCTCCAGACTGTAGGGAACAGGGGAAGGGGGCGTTACCAGAACCTCTGCAGTAAGTCCTAGTCTCCTGTGAGCCACGGCAGCACAAGGTGAATTACAGGAAAGGTAGACAAATGAGAAGAAGCTGAGCTTTGGGTCTGATCAGTGCTGCTCTGGACACCAAAGACTAGAAGCCCTAGCTTGTAGCACCTTTTATTTAGTACATCCGGAGAAACAAATGTAACAAATGAATATGTAGATTTCAGTATCACATTGGGATGAACAAGGTGTAACAAAAGACTGGGTGGGGGCGGTGGAAATCTAAGAACAATGAGGAACTATGCAGATGAAGATTTAGTTCTTCCCAGGAACTACACAGATGAAGATTTGGTTCCTCCCAGGGTGTCTCTTGCAGGTGTGGTCTTGTCCTGGAGCATTACAGCATCATGGGATCATTGAGATCTCCCTTGTGACCTGAGGCCAAAATGGAATTATGTCTTGGAGTGTTATAGCTGGCCTGTAGGCAGGAGAACTAGGCCTACTCAAATGATTTTTCCCTAGAATTATGTAGCATTCCTCCCAACACCAGACCTACAGATCTCATGTGCAGACACACCTTTTGTACTCTTCCACATCTGACTCTGTGGGTGGGCACTGTAAGCCAAACTTGTAAATTCTTATATATTTTTATTTCTCTTGCATTAAATGTTTCTCTAGTAAGCACTAACCGATACACTAACCATGTGGTTCAGAAGCCTTTGGAACTGGTCTGTGGAGTTTATAAAGGTTTGGAGATGCAAGGTAGCCAAGTCCTAGAATGCTGTAAGCAGAACATGATGGGTGATTCTGGTTAGAGCTCACAAGACTCAAATGCTGATAGGAATGTGGATAGTAAACATCAGGGTCAGGAGGCTGCAGTTGGGAAAGACTTCATTGGCAATTAGACTAGAAGCCATGCATATTACATTCTAACAAAAGGAAGAAATTCTACATTTTGACATGTCCTGAGATTTTGCAGGAGTCTGAGATCAAGAGAGGTGGACTAACTGATCTGGTGGCAACATTCAGGCTATGGCATGGGAACTGCTGGCTGCTTTTAGCTAGATTTATACTGAGAATCAAGGCAAAAAGCAGAGTGGAGGCCAGATGTGGAGCTACAGGACTTAACAATATTTTCCCTGCTGTGTTTTGGTCTTGCTTTGGTCCAGTTCTTTTCAATGTCCCTGTTTTTCCCTTTTGGAATGGGAACATTTATCCTGTGTCATTGTCCCTTGGGATTATGTAACCTGCTTTTTATTTTTACAGAGGTTCACAACCAAGAGTTTGCCCTGAGCCTCAGAAGAGACTTTTGATAGCATCCAAAAAAATGAAACATCTAGGAATCAACCTAATAAAAAAGAAAAAGTAAAAGACCTCTACACTGAAAACTAAAGTATTCTGAAAAAGGAGATCAAAGAGGATATCAGAAAATGGAAAGATATCCCTTGTTCTTGGGTAGGAAGAACAAATACAGTGAAAATGGCCATACTTCCAAAACTGTTATACAGATTTAATGCAATCCCAGTCAAAATACCAATTGCATATCTCACAGAATTAGAGAAAACAATCCTAAAATTCATCTGGAAACAGAAGAGAGCTTAAATAGCAAAAGCAATTCTGGACAACAAAGGCAAGGCAGGGGGCATCATAATCCCTGAATTGAAATTATACTACAAAGCTACTGTGATAAAAACAGCATGGTACTGACAAAAAAACAAAACAGACCTAAGGATCAATGGAGGTGATTAGAAGATGCAGAAACAACTCCAAATACAACTCAGCCACCTTATCTTTGACAAAGGGGTGAAACACCTTCACTGCAAAAAAGATTGCCTCTTTAATAAATGGTGCTAGAAAAAAACAGCTTTCCACATGCTGAAGATTAAAACTAGACCCATAACTCTTACCATGCACAAAACTAAATTCAAAATGGATCAAAGATCTAAATATTAAAACAGAAACACTAAATCTGCCTGAAGAGAGAATAGGTAGAATGCTTGGGGACTTCATGAACAAAGCTCTGATCACACAGGAAGTATCACAAAGAATCAACAACGGGGATTTCACCTTATTAAAAAGCTTTTGCACAGAAAGAGAAAACACCAAAAGAAAGAAGAGATAACCCATGGTGTAGGAAAAATTTTTTACCAACTATTCACCAAAGGAATGCTATCTAGAATATATTAAAAACTCAAAAAAAAAAAAATCACACCCCCCAAATTTAAAGACTCGATCCAATAATGGGGATCTGAAATGAATAGACACTTCTCAGATAAAGTACAAACACCAAATAAATATAATGCTCAATATCATTGGTCTTTCGTGAAATGCAAATTAAAACAACACTGAGATTCCATCTCACTCCAGAAAGAATGGCTCTTATTAAGAAATCAACCAATAACAAATGGTGGTGGGGCTCTGGGGAAAAAAGAATCCTACTCCACTGTTGGTGGGAGTGTAGACTGGTACAACCACTGAGGAAATCTCTGTGAAGATTCCTCAAAAAACTAAAACTAGAGGTTCCATTTGACCTGGCTATTCCCTTTCTTGGTATATTCCTGAAAGAATTAAAAGCATCCTAACACAGTGATATACGAACACTTATGTTTATAGTAACACAGTTTGCAATAGCTAAATCTTGGAAACAGCCCAAATGCCTATCAACCAATGAATGGATAAAGAAGATGTGGTTTTTTATACAATGGAGTACTACTCTGACATAAAGATAGATGAGCTTCAAACATTTATCACTAGGGCCGGGGATTTAGCTCAGTGGCACTGCGCCTGCCTTGCAAGTGCAAGGTCCTGAGTTTGGTCCCTGGTACCAAAAAAAAAAAAATTATAGCTAAGTGGATGTATATTGAGACCATACTCCTAAGCGAAATAAATCAGACACATACGTTTACCACACTGTTTCTCTGGTGTGAGAAATCAAAAGTGAAAATAAGGACTAAAATATATAATAGATATTGGGAAATGGGAAGAAAATGTTCAAATTGGAAGGGGAATAAGGGAGGAGGGAGAAGGGAAGGGAAAAACATGAAAATAGAAAGAAAAAATGTAAACAAAGCTTTTGTACATGGGGAGGGGAGGGGGCTTGCAGGAGGGATGGGAAAAATAGGCAGGATGTATCATGTACAGGTACAAATTCCCTATGATGTGTCCTATCATTATGCATGCCTAAAACGTACCAATAAATGTTTTGCTATTGTAAAAAAATGAAAAATAAAAAAGGGTAGGATATAGTTCAGTGTGAAGACCCTGAGATTAATCCTCAGTACCACAAAAGTAAATAAATCTTACAGACTGTACATTTTAAATAAGCACTTTTGCTTTATGTCAATTACACCTAAAGCTGTTTTCTAAAATACAAAAAAAAAGGGATACCAAGATTTGAAAAACACCTAACAGATTAGTGAAGCATACTTTTGGGTGTGTCTGGGTGGGTCACAAAGATGTGACCTTGGGTTCCTATTTCTCTCCTCCCTCCTTCCTCTCTGGCACTGTTCCCTTGTTCTGCTTCCTCATCACCATAAATTAAGCAGCTTTCCTGTGCTCCACCCTTTCCCCATGTTTATGTCTTTAAGCCATTAGATCATGAACTGAATCATCTGAAACTGTAAGTCAAATTAAACCCCCTCTCCTTTAAACTGTGGGTCTCGTGTATGGTGTCCCAGCAACAGGAGAGCTGATTACTATATGAAGGAATGAAGGCCAAAGATCATGTCATCATCCCAATAATTCATTCATTCAAAAAAAATTGACAAAATCCCATATCCTCTCATGCTAAAAAAAATGCCAATAAATCAGGCATAGATGGACTGTACCTCAATACAATAAAGGCCATATATGAAAACCCCAGGCTAACATACTCAATGGTGAAAAATTAAAAGGCAACTCTAAGATCAGGAACAAGACAAAGATACCCAGTGTCACCACTCCTTTCAACATAGTATTAAAAGGTCTAGCCAGAAAAATTAGAGAAGAAAAAGAAATTAAAAGGCATCCAAAGAGGAAAGGATGAAGTGAAATTATCTCTTGGCAGATGTCATGGCCTTACATATAGAAAACCCTGAAGAGTCCACCAAAAAAAAGTTAGAACTGATAAAAGAATTCAGTAAAGTTGCAAAACATAAAAATCAAAACCCAAAAATCAGTAGTATTGGGCCGGGGATTTAGCTCAGTGGTTCCGCTGCCTGCCTTGCAAGTGCAAGGACCTGAGTTTGATCCCTGGTACAAAAAAGAAAAATTAGTAGTATTTCTTTACACTAACAATGATCTTTAAGAAAAAATCAATCTGCTTCACTACATCACCAATAAATAAATAAAATACTTAGGAGCAAAGTTAACCAAGGAAGTTAAAGATTTGTTTACTGAAAACTGTAAATGATTGATGAAAGAAACAGATGGCACAAAGCAGAGCATGGTGGTACATGCAAGTAATCCCAGCATTCTGGGAGGCAGAGTAGAAGGATTATAAGTTTGAGTCCAGTCTATACAACTTACTGAGGCCCTGCCTCAAAAAGATGGGGGTTGGAGGGATAACTAAGTGTGCAGGCCCTCTATTCAATCCCTCGTACTACAAAGAAAACAAATAGATGAAATAAATAAATGGAATAGCATCTCATGTTTACATATTGGAAAAATTAATATTGTTAACTATTAATATTCAATGCAATACCTATCAAAATTTCAGTAACATTTTAACAGAAATAAAAATCCTGAAAAACTCATATGGAACCACAAAAGATCAAATAGCCAAAGCAATTTTGAACAAAACAAACAAAGTTGGCATCACACTGACTTCAAAAACCTATTACAAAGCTATAATAATCCAAAAAACATGTTATTGGAATAAAAACAGGCACATTAACCAGTGGAACAGAATAGTAAACCCAGAAACAAACCCACACACCTAATGTCAAATGATTGTCAACAAAGGTGCCAAAAATACACACTTGGAAATAGTCTCTTCAATATATGGTGTTGGACAACTACATATCCATGTGCAGAAGAATGAAATTGGATCCTCATCTCACATCACATATAAAAATCAACTAAAACTAGATTATAAACATAAATGTAAAATCTGAAACCATTAAACTACTAGCTGAAAGAAGCACGACATAAATTTTCCACATTAGTCTGAGCAGTTTTTTTTGCACAGGATCTTAGAAGTACAAGCGACAAAAGCAAAAATGAACAAATGAGATTGCACTGAACTAAAAAGCTTCCTCTCAACAAAGGAAACAATAAAGAGAAAACCCACAAATATTGGAAAAATTGCAAACCATACATCTCAGAAGGGGTTAATATTCAAAACTGATAAAGAACTCAACTCAATAGCAAGAAAATGAAGAACCCAACTTACAAATAGGCAAAGGACCAAATAAACATTTCTGAAAAGATATACAAATGGCTGGGGCTGGGGATGTTGCTCAATGGCGCAGCACCTGCCTGGCAAGCACAAGGCCCTGAGTTGATTCCTGGTACCAAAAAAATAAAATAAAACAAATGGCCAATAAATATTTAAAAAGTGCTCATCACTAACTACCAGGGAAATGCCAATGAAGTTCACAATGCAGTATCACTTCACACCTGTCAGGATGGCTATCACTGAAAAGAGGAAAGATGAATGTTGGCAACAACGTGGAGACAAGGTTACCCTTGGGGTGCAAATTAGTAAAGCCATTATATAAAGGACAGTATGGAGATTCCTCAAAAACTAAAAATAGAATTATATGACCCAACAACCTCACTTCTGGGTTTATATCCAAAAGGACTACAAGGACCGGGGATTTAGCTCAGTGGCGCCACACCTGCTTCTCAAAAGGACTACAATCAGAATGTCAAAGAGGTACTTGCATTTCCATGTTCACTGCAACATTACTCACATAGACAAGATAAGGAATCAACTTAAGTGTCCATTACTGAATGAATGGATATAAAAGGGTCCTATATAGTATATACTATTCATCTGTAAAAAAAAAAAATTCTGTGACTTGCAACCACATGGATGATCCTGGAGGACATTAATGCCAAGCAAAATAAGCCAGGCCCGGCTTGATCTCACTTGTACGTGCAATCCAAAAACAAGCTGAAAAGTAGAGAGCAGAATGGCAGCTGGAAGTCATGTTTATAAAAGGGTACAAAATTTCAGGAATAAGCTTCAGTGATCTACTGTACAGAATAGCAACTATAGTAAATAATGCATCACACATTTTTAAATTACTAGTTTAAATGTTTTTACCATATAAAAATGGTGAGGTGGGCTTGTTAACTAGCTTCGTTTAATCATTCCACAATATAAACATACATCAAAACTTATACCCCACAAGTATATAATATATACAATTGCTTGTCAACTAAAATTTTTTAAACAAAAAAATAAAGTAACATTTCAATTTAATTCATTTCAAATTAATCCACTCATCTGTTTAATACCTGCTAAAAGCCAGGTAAGTATAAGTTGGCACCTTAGTACTTTTATGATCAAAAGAAAATCTAAGGAAAGGAAAATTAAATATGCATAGTCACTCTCCTTGCTGCTGAGACACAATACCCCAACACCACAGCTTAAAGGAGACATTTATTTGGGGTTATGGTTTTGAGAGGTTTCAGTCTAGTTGCCCTGCTCCAATGCAGAGACAGCATGGTGAAATGACCTGGGCAGAAGAAAGCTACTCACACTGTGGTGGCCAGGAAGCAAAGAAGACACCACCTTCTCACAAGTCAGCTACAGCACCTGATGATTCAATCATCCTGCAAAAGCCCAACCTATGGCACATGAGGCCTTTGGGGTACATGGTCTATGTAAGCCACACTACATAATCTGAGATAGATATAAAAACAGCTTATACTACTTCAAAAATAAGCTGAAGTTAGTATCATGCATAGTTCCATGTACTGGTTAAGATAACCCCAGAAACTGAAGGATTAAAAAGTAATAAGTTGATATGTATTTTTCTAGAGATTAAAAAAAAGCTGGGACAATACATAATTTACTGATTATGACACATTATGACAAGAGAGTACTTTTCCACAGAACTTTTCTCCATATCACAAATGCTGAGTTTTCCTGTGACGTACAAGCTGGTCATTGCTGATCCAGTGAAATTCTACGCCCTCCAGCTTGAGCAGTATTGTAAGAGTCACAATTCTGACATTTCATGCCCAAAATATGGAACTGGACTGTGGATCGTCCATTGCAGTCATTGCAGAGAATCTGCAAAGTGAAGAGATAACTTCAAGACAAATACTTCAAATATTATACAAAGGTCATTGCCCACAATCACTTGACAATCATATCAAAGATAAGAAAATACATACACTATGTCTGAACATTTCCCTAAGTGGAAATATCTTTTCACTTTCACTTTTTCACTTTTAACTCCAAAAGGCTATTAGGGTAACTTTGAATTTAGAAAATGAAAATGCAACATTGAACAAAGGCAGCTTATTTTAAAATACAGTAGTTCCCAAATAATATAGTACAAACAAAAATTAACCTAGGCATATCAGATCAAGACCCCATATTTACAATTTAAGATATAACAGATATGCTTTCATTATTTCTCCCTGGTACTGAGAAATTTATCTCATTTAGTCAATGAAACTGAAATTTTCATTATAGTATTTTTGCTTTTTTAAAAAAATTATTTTGGGGCCGGGGATTTAGCTCAGTGGTTCTGGTGCCTGCCTCACAAACTGAGGACCCAAGTTCGATCCCCAGTACAAAAAACAAAAAAATTAAATTAAATAAAAAATTATTTTTTAGGTTTATTGTACCAAATCCTCAGTCTACTATGTCTCAGGAATAAAGTCCAAAAACCAGTGTTTCTTAAAATTGAGTAAGGAAAGGCTCTCATGTCATCTTTACAATGACAAAATGCCATCTAATAATAAATCTCTTCTGATCCTTAGATCCTGAAAAATGAAAAAGATGTTATCTTCAAAATAGATCAGTGCACTACTATGCTGTAAAGCATAAGCTTTAGCATAGTCACGTCATCAAAACAGAAATTTTCCAAATTCACTCCAAATTATGAATTTGAAAAACAATTCTTTTAAAAATATTACCTAAATATACAAAGATTGCCTAGACCCCAAGGAGGCTGGATAATGACTGTCAGTGGGTACTGCACAAAGTTTCTTTTTGGATAATGAAAATGTTGTAAAATTGTGGTGATGTTTGTATAATTCTATGAATATACTAAAGGGCAATGAATTGTACACTTTTAGGAATGAGTTGTACAATATATGAATTTTATCTTAACAAAACTATTGTTTAAAGTGGAATATGCTATACTTCAGCCTCTGGTTAAAAAAAAAAATCACATAATTATGACTTCATTGTCTAAGTGATATTTCATTGTCCATATTAACAATTTGATTATGCACAAGAATTATGAAACCTTCCAGTATGAATCACACCAAAAATTTTTATTTGACTTTGTTATCTGGTTTTTCTTTGTTTTTAGAAGTATTTGAAGAGGTTCGGAAGATGTCTATGTCCAAAAATCACTACAACACCAGAAAGCTTATCTAGCTTTCTCATTCTGAGCTACAAGGTGTGATCAAAAAATACAGTGTCTGTTTAAATAAAAACAATTTATTACAATAAAAGACACAGTGCCATTAATCCTCCTGAAAATACTTTCCCTCACTTCAAACACAGTTATCCCATCACTCTTGCCACATTCTGAAGCACTTCCCAAAGTCCTCTTTCAAAAATGTCTTTAGTTGCACTGTCATGGTTGCCTTGATGTCTTGAACCGATTCAAAACATCTACCTTTTGTGGCCATTTTGATTTTGGGCAAGAACCACAAATTGCAGTATCAAATCAGGTTAATAAAGTGAACACGGACACATGGAAATGTTTTTATGAGCCTGCCTTTCCTTTAGATGGCACTTGCATTCACTGTATTTTTGATCACATCTCATAAAAACACTCACAAGAGGACTTCCAGAATGGCTTCAGCGAATGGCAAGAATGATGGGATATGTGTGTCTGAAGTGAGGGGAAGTATTCTGAGGAGGATTAATGGCGATGTGTTCTTAACTGTAATAAATCTTTAAAATTTAAATGTTCACAACATATTTAGATCACTCCTTGTATAACTCAATACTGTGCTGAAAATAAACTACTAGAGTAGCACATCTCAATTAATGGAAAACAGATGATCATTCTCTGTAAGACAAGGCACAAAAATACTTTTTATACTAATTTAAATCAAATAAAGTTAAGTCTAAGATAGAATTTAAAAAATAATAAACATTAAAACCCAAAATATAAACTTCAAAAATGAGTAACTATGTCTCCCTGAAGTAAAACTGAAAATAATTACAGATAAAACAGCAGTAATCCACACTTAGCTAGTTATATCACTGACTGGCAAGTAATGGGTAAGTAACTCAGGATAAAGTTTCTGCCTGCCATCTGGTGTTGGTAAAAAACTACACAGAGGTATTTTTAGAACTTTTTTGTCCTGGTCTGTGTTCAACAGTACTAAAATTTAGGGCCAGGGATTTAGCTCAGTGGTTCCGCCGCCTGCCTCAAAAGCTCAAGGTCCTGAGTTCGATCCCCGGTACCAAAAAAAAAAAAAAAATACACTAAAATTTAAATTTGTTCTTCTCACTAATCATCACAATGACATTTACGTCAATGCAATTTTTGGACAAATTTCAGCAAAAGGGCAAAATTTTTTAGAAGTATCAGCAAGAAGCCTGAGGGCCGAGGATTTAGCTCAGTGGTTTCACCGTCTGCTGCGCAAGTGCAAGGACCCGAGTTCAATCCCCAGTACCAAAAAAAAAAAAGGAAGCCTGAAAAGTTGTAAGCATGGATTATACTCACATCCACAGTCATGTTCTGATATTCTGACGGCATAGGAGTCTGTGCCACCTCATTATCCAGCTGTCTCCAGTACCAAGTCATATCTAAGGCAGAGTGCATGCACAACGGACACCGGTAGCCTCTGCAAGAGAAGATGGAGAGTAGATGTCACTTACATATGCAGAACGTGGGAGCCATGAGGTCCAGAAGCCTTTTTAGGGCATCATCTGTATCTCAAAATAATCTCCTAGGAACCTAGGAAACTTCACCATTAAGAGGGTTAAATTAAATCCTGTATATTATGGTATTTTTTTAAACCCTAAGTCTTTTTCCTCAGTTCTCTAAGATCGAATCAGTCCACATTCTTCATGAAACATACTTCATATACTTAAAAACACTAATGGAGCTACTCCTTAGCTAAACAACCTCAATTTCTTACACATTCCGTAAAGAAGAGAGTATAGTCCTTAAAAATTATTCAGATCGTTTATTATTTCCTTTCTAAAAATTCAAAACAAGTTCCCCTCTCTTTGGTTAGTAACATTTCTGCTCATCAATGAGCAGGATCAGAATACATTTACAGTCTCCTCTTCCTAACTACTTCTCATTTGATTTTAGTTCTACTTTTAAGTAAACTCTTTACCAGTTTTCTTTGCATTTCATCACTGGATCAATTTAATGACCTGACAAAATTTTTAGCACCATTCCTCAGTGTTTTCACAATACCATGACTGCCTCTGGTGGAGACTGTATTCCTTAACAAGCATGGCTAAAAAACAAGAAGTATCTAGCACAAGGTCCCGAGTTTGATCCCTGGTACCCCCCCCCAAAAAAAAAATCTACTCAAAAAGCAAGAAGTATCTGTTTTGAGTTGTGGGAGAACATAAGGCGTAAGAGACACAGGAATTCAGGCACATATCCTCAAGATGGCATGGCCAGTTTAACACCGTTCATCTACCCTACTGATCTCAACACAAATATCTGCCAAGCCCAACAATGTGTAAGCACAGTCATACTTGCCCACATCCCTACTTACACACACACACAAAGGAAAGACATCTTACAACTATAATTTTTTAAAATTCCATCAAAACTCACTTTTTCAACATTTCTTCATAACACGTTCTGAAAGAAAATATAACAGTAGTTTAGTAAAACAAACTCTCATTTCCTTTCCAAAAAATAACTCTACTATTTTTAAAACATCTTTGAGGAGAAAAAAGTTATTTTTACCTATGTAAAAGATGTCCACATGGCAAGACATGAGCAACAACACGGGATGTATGAATGTCCTACAGAGGGAAAATGTGAGTGCTGCATAAAGACGATATCAACACCCGAGTATTCTAAGTCAAGAAGGAAGACTTACAAAGTGAAAGTATTTTACCTTACCTCCAAACATATTGGACAATTCTGCCGAGAAACATTTTCAATACACTGTTTAAAAGAGAAACTCAGATTAATGAAAGCTTAAACAGTTAAAAAATGACAATTATAACAGTAGTATTGATAATAAAAGCTAATAAAATCAACTTATTAAAAATAAGAGCTGGAGGGCTGGGGATTTAGCTCAGTGGTTTTGTCACCTGCTGCGCAAGCGCAAGGATCCGAGTTTGATCCCTGGTACCAAAAAAAAAAAAAAAAAAAAGCCACTAAAATGTACCCCTAAAGTCTCATGTGTTCAGAAGGTGACTGGATCACAAGGACATTGACTTGTTGTTAGCAAGTGGGGCCTACTTGGAGGGGTGCTCTTTTCCTGGCTCCTCTCCTCTCTCTGCTTCCTGGCAGCCAAGGGTTGAGCAGCTGTCCTTCACCATTAGTGTCCACCTTGGAGCCAGCTGACCATGGACCAAACCCATTGTAAACTGTGAGCCAAATAAACCTCGCCTCTTCTAAGTTGCAAGTGTTGGTTATTTTGTCCCAGCAAAGGAAAAGCTGACTGATACAAACTATCTAAATTATCCAAAGATAACAAGGTTGGAAACCTTTCCATCTTATACGTGTTTTACTTATAAGTGTTTCACTGCCCTGTATTAGTAGGATAAACTAATAATCTCTTGGTAACAATAGATCATACAGATTTACTACATGCCATTCAAGTACAGTACCTGTATTAGCTCAGTTAATTCTCATAACCCAAGACAAATTAGGCAAAATTACTTCATTTTACTGCAGAGCTAACTGAGGTCTCTTTTTTTTTTTGGTACCAGGGATTGAACTCGGGAACTTGTGCTTGTGAGGCAGGTGGCAGAACCACTGAGCTAAATCCCCGGCCCTTCAGGTTTCTTTTTAGTAAGAGAATTAAACGTGAGTTCCAGCAGACTGAATGCAGAGCTTGCATTCTTAGCTTTCAAGACTCAATGTCTGTTCAGATACCAGACAAAGGGGAAGCACCCTGCTATGGTGACTCCTCAGTTTTAGTGCAAGTACTTGGGCAGCAGCTGGGACCACTTATTAATTTATAGGCAATAAAAGACAACTGAGAAATAGCAAAATAAAAAAATCACAGGGGAAAATACACAGAGCGCTTTAAAGACAATAGAGAACAATGTGGAGAAAACCTTCAACAGGAATAAATTTTAAAATATGAACGTAATCACACTCTGGCTATTTATGAACCCTTCCGATCTGGATAATGAGACTAGGACTGGGGCTCCATGGAGCACTGGCCTCATATGCCTGAGGCCTAGGCTCAATCAGCTTGACCAAAAAACAATAAAATAAAAAGAGGTTGTGGACAAGCACTCCTTTTATCTTATTTATAAAATAAAACTAATCTCACATACACACACATTTTAACACCTCTGTGATCACAATCCAGCTGATAATTGGTGTTTCAAGGCCATGAGACAGGCCAGCGGAGTGCAGTACACACACAATAACACAGTGGGCTTGACATAAACACAACGGCTGCTCTGGACACCAGCCCTACACCTCAACAGGTGACTCAAGTTGCTCCATGAGCCTGCCTCACTTTACCCAAGGCTATACTCACAGAGCCAAACTCAATCTTTAGTACGAGGAATCCAGTTACACATTGTGTACGCTCATTACTCATCTTCATTTTCCTCCCCAATTCATTACAGGCCACGTATCTAATACCACATCTCTGTAAGACCCTCTTACCCTTTCTATTGAACCTGCATAGCACTAAGCAAATCATTTCAGTCTCTTTCTAGTTACTATGTGTCTCTCTCCCTCTCCTTTTCTCCCTCTCTCTCATACAATGTTGCTACTCACAGTTCTCTTGATCTGGAACTTGCTATACTTGTAACATATGATTTATATTCCAGTCTATGCCAGTCTCCATTCTCTAAATTTTTTAAATAAGTACAATCAAGTACTATTAAATGTTTTTATTAGGTAGTTTTTAAATGAAAGAGTGTGGGGTTGTGGTAAAATTCCCACATCCAGATTAAAAATCTTTATGTATTATGAAAGAAAATACAAAAATACTACCTTTTCTTAGAATGCCGGGCAGGTTACACTGCTCGGCACTACTCCTTTTAATCTAGAAGCTGGACCAATGGTAAGGCATACTCTGACTTAGAGGCTGTCAACATTACACTAAAAACTGACAGAAATATTCAAAACAAATTGTTGATCAGATGTTCTAGGCATGTTTTAGTATCTACTTAATACTGCTTTATAAAAAGCACAAAATACAGATTTACATGGTATTATCTGAAAATTATCATGCTTCTAAAACGTATGAGAATTTAAGCTCCTTTTTGAAAGCATTGTAATACTTTTAAAATAATGCAAACTGGATTATATACCTTATGTTTTCCTTGAAGATTCATAGCTAGGCATAAGTTACATTTCAAACAGTGGAAAAAATCTTCCTTGGGACCAATCCTAACAAAACATATGAAAGCCAAAAGATTAGATTTTTCTTTTTAACAATGATATTTTATTCATAATATAACACCTAAATTTAGTCCCATGAAAAAAAAATTCAAACCACACTGATATAGGATAAACTCCCATCTCTGGAACATCCCTCTCTCCAAATATAAGCATCTTAAACAGAATGGTATCTACTCACCTAATGCTGTTTTGTTCTGTTTTTCCCACTATATAATTATATACACAGGAAAAAGAGAGAAAAGACAGATACACACAATCTAGGTTTTATTCCTTACACAAAGAGATTCTCCCTACATATGATGTTTTGCAACTCTCTCATTTAACAATATATATCCTGAGGATTACCTCTGACTAAAAGGAACCACTTTACTTTTCTTAACAGCTACATACAACTCTCCCACAATAACACTATTTTTTTTTTTTGCTTAAATTCTTTTATCGGTACATTTTAGGTATACAATACATTTACATTTATCATTGGGTACTTGTACCTGTACGTGATGTATCTTGGTTCTTATTTTTTCCCCATTACCTGTGCGCCCTTCACCCCTCCACCCTTCCCTATTTACATACTTCATTTTCATTTCTTTTTCTTTACTCATAATTCTTTCCTTTCTATTCTTCCCTTTCCCTATCTCCTCCCACTACCCCTACCCCTTTGGACCTTTTCCTATTTCAAAGAATAACACTATTAATATGGGATAGATATTGTATATTACAATTTTTAAAAACCATTCCTTTAAGGATAAAATTTACAATCTTCAATTGCTACCAAAAAAATTAAGCATCCTTGTCAAGATACATTTTTTTTACAAGATTTCTAAAAGTAAAACTACTGAATCAGAAGGTACTGGATTATTCATTGTGACACACCAAACTGACCTCCAACAAGAAAGAATTGATTTACCTTTACAGCCACAGTGCATGGCATTAGAGGGCACTGTTCCCACAACCTGGCCAACACTTATAACATGCATGACAGACAAATAACAAATCTGCATCATTCAAATTACAAGACGCAATATACTTTAATGCTTATGAACCACATGGACTTTTCCTGTAGATTTTCTGTGGACATACTGTGCCCACTTTTTTTACTGAGGTATTTGTCTTTTACTAACTTATAGAAGGTCTTTATATAGCTTGGATATTGATATGTTACATTTATTTTTCTGGTTGGTCATCTCTCCTACAGTAGTTTTTCTTCTTTTTAGAGAGAAGGTCTCATTATATTGCCTGTGTTCCCCAGGCTAACCTCGAGCTCAAGGTTCTCCTGCCTCAGTCTCTCAAGTACCTGGAGCTACAGTTGAATGACACCTTGCCTGGCTACAGCCATTTTTAATTCCTATGTTCCATCAATATTTTCCCTTATAGCTATGTTTTCTACCTACTGTTTAGATGACTTCTATCAACTATAGACCATAAGCATATTATCCTTTGCATACTGCTAATACTTAGTGCTTTTCCTTTATATTTGTTTTCATCCCTCTGAGGTTTATTAGATAGGGTAAAGCCAAGACTGCTAGCTGTCCCTAAATTTCTATTCTCTGCTTCTTCCACAGTAACACAACATTTAACTAGAAACTGTGTTATTCAGAGCTGTCCTGAATAAATACTATTTTCCATCTTCTCTGGCTGTGGACAGAAGAGAGAAATCAAATTCTGTGTTATGCCCTTAAGAGGAAAGGGTATCCTTCCTTTCACCCATTTTCCCATTGGCCAAAATAAGAACCATTAGACTACAGAGATCCATGCAGAGAAAAGGGAAAAAAGGAGCCAGGACTTTGCCAGGAGAAATAAACCTCTACCTTTCCTGAGGAGTCATTATTATCTTGGCTTTCTGTCACACAATGCTAAAACCACATTCTAATGAATGTGAAGTTTTAAGAATCAACTCTTTGTTTTCCTAATGAATAAGCAACTATCCTAGTATCCCTGCCCCTAATTTAAAATGTCACTTTTGCTGTAAATTAATGTGGATAAATGTGACTTATATTTAAATGAAAATATAAGAATTCATACATTCAAATGACATGATTTTTAACGTTATTATGAGAGAATGCTGCCATTACACAAACATTTTTAACTTGTCTTTTGATAGCTTTTTTACTTAAAAAATAATAATTATTTCATGTTCATATGTCATTTCTGACCAAAGACAGTATTTGTCAATCTCAAAGATTTTGCTCTCAGTACCTTTGAGGAAATTTTTTAAAAGTCAAAACAGAGCTTTGCACATCCTCCAGGAGGGTGGGTTTTCAGGGTGCCACAGGCACTCATTAAAAGGAAGTGTAGAACAGACATTTCAAGGATTTCTGGACAATGACAACAGATGTAATAATAACTCCGAAAATAACTATTTGAAGTGAGCATACCTATTTGTCTAAAAACCTCATTCACACAATTTTATTATACTCAATAATAAAAATATGTGAAACAAGTTTTTATTTGAAAACATCTTAGGGACTAAGTATTTCCTAACTATATTCCACTGAATATGAAAATGACTCTATGTCCAAATATTCAAAACCCAGCAGTCTTTATAAGAGATATACAGTTTACAATTAGCAAGTTAGGAGTCCTGAGAAATGGAGATTAAATTTAGCATTTACCATATTTTCAAGACTATAAAGCTTTCATTATACAACATCCACTCTGTAACTGGTCCGAATCATTTTTTAACCAATTCTGTTTTGAAGATTAATATTTTATGGCATTATTTACAGATCTCCCAAAGAACAAGGGGAAATCTATTTTCTTTAATAAAACTCAATCCATTTTGCAGTTACAATATGGATCCACTGAACTCTTTTAAAAATCTGATACGACAGGACCTTAGTGATCTTATTTTTTTCTCTAGCTTGAAACATTTTGGTGTTTCAGTATCCTAGGAATTCTTTCAAATTAATTACCAATTATTTCTTACTATCCCAACCAAAAACTAAAATGGGAAGTACAGCAAAAACACCTAAAAAAATGAACAATATGAAATAAATATCACTTAGCACTGCCCAAAAAAGCACTACACCTTCTATCAAGAAGGTATTTAAGGGGCTGCAGATTTAGCTCCGTGGTTCCACCTCCTGCCTCACAGGCAGCAAGGTCCCGAGTTTGATCCCTGGTACCAAAAAAAAAGAGGCAGAGAACAACATGACATGGCAGCCCAAGACCAGGCACTATGGACATTTTGGATGGGATTATGTTTGCAGGCAAGGATTGTCCTGTACGCTGCAAGATGTCCAGCAGCACCTGACTCTACCCAATAGGTGCCACAGCACTCCTATACACCTGGGGTGGGAGCCAAAACAGTCTCCCAAGGTTGCCAAACATCTTCAGAAGGCAAAATCATCCCCAGCTCAGAACCACTGCTCAGGACTCTTAAGAGGACAGTGGCACTGGTCCCATAAGCAATCAGTCAGATGATGACAACCTAGACCAGTGGTGATGAACCTATTGCACAAGTGTTACTGCGATTTTCTTTACGACAAAAGATTTTCAGGTATGAGTTGTTTTTCCTAAACAAAAACCTCAGTATTCTGGTTTAATTGCAGTGTTGGCACTTCCAATAAATAAACGGGTTTTAAAAGTTGCCATTTGGGACCTTGTCTCTGACAGGTTCAGTATCACTGCATGAACATTCTCACACAAGGCAAGAACAGGGAGGGAGATAGTACAGTGGGGGAGCACTGCCTCATATATGTAAGACCCTAGATTCAGTCCCAGCAGCACAAAGAAGAAAAAGGAAAGAAATCAACAATACATTTTTAGAATAAAAAGAAAAGATGGAATCCTCAAATCATAAGTATTTTGTAACTTGAAACCATTAGCTTTTGCTAAAAGACCATATGACAGGATTTGCCCATCCTTCATAAGGTTGGTACACCAAAATTTACTTAATATGGCTCATAATGGTTAAATGTTGAAAGCATGTATGTTTGAAAAAGTACTTAGGCCCAGTATGGTGACGTAATCCTAGCACTCTAGAAGATTAAGGCAGAAAGATCACAAATTCAAGCACAGCCTAGACACCCTTGCAACTGAATTAAGACCCTGTCTCAAAAAATAAAAAAGCGCTGGAGATATAGCTCAGTGGAAAGGACTACGTTCAAGTCTCAGTACCACAAAAAAATAAAAACAAACAAAAATAGCCACATGGTAGTTGATGGAGAAACTATTGTAAAAAAAGAGATGAAAAAATTTTAGAATAATGTTAACATATTTCGAGACAGAGATCACAACACATTGAAATGGACATTTGAGTACATTTTATCAGATATACATTATATCCTAATAAAGGTGATTTTTTAAAAAGTGTTTTTGGCTAGGTATGTTAGAAATAATCAGGAAAGAACATTTCACATACAGTACCTACAAATTCCACAGTTTTCACAATGATACTGCTTCTTATCTTTGTCAAACAGATGGCATATACTGCAGTAATATTCTCCAAACAATGTGCTACATTCCTCACAAGACTGTTGGGCCTAAAAACAGAAAAAATAATTAAAAATTGGAATAAATTTACCAAAACATTGTCAATTACTATTTGAATATCTTGCTAGGTAGTTGAGGTTGTCCTTAAACTCACTGTGTAGCCCAGGCTATGCAGAGATCCTCCTGACTTAGCCTCTCTAGTGCTGAGATTACAGGTGTGCACCACCACTTATTTTTACAAATTTTTAAACATCTAAAACAAAGACATTGCTTACTGTCAGAGTTAAGTTTTATTTATAATTTTTTTAAATAAATTTTTTCAATCTTAATTTTTTTGGCCAGGGATTTAGCTCAGTGGTGCTGAGCCTGCCTCACAAGCATAAGGTCCTGAGTTCGATCCCTGGTACCAGAAAAAAAAAAAGACTGTTAATATTTTTAAAAAGGAAAGCTAGAAGTGGTGATGAATACCTATACACACCACTCTAGGAGGCTGAGACAGGAGGATCCCAAGTTCGAACCCAACCTAGGCAACTTAGCAAGACTCTACCACAAAACATACAGACGCAGAAACACGTCATAAAACCTTACATGTTGAATTTTTTCACAGTTGATGCACTGCACTTCCTGTACTTTAAAGCGATCTAGCTGATGATCCTCATTGTTATCATGACACAGCCGGCAAGTATAAAGCTTGTCACAGCAAGGCGCCTAAAACACAGAAAAATACACACAAGCAAGAGAAGACAAGTTGACTACATATATATAATAAAAAAAAATGTCTTTCTCCTCTCCCTGAACACCATCATAGATTACACCCAATAGATCACGTGCTAACTTCACTGTTACCTGCTATATCTTATGTTTAGTATTCCTTCAACATCTCTAACCTTTTTAAAGCCCAAGAATTATGAGGGATAGAAGTCCCTAGCCTAAAAAACTAGTTCCACAACACCCTGATCATTCTCAGCCTATAGTTGACAGCCAACCCCTTCCCAGACATTTCCAGATAAATTCCCTTATATACTTCAATCCCCAAACACAAAATGCACGTTTATTCCATTATCACTGATTAATCATCAATTACATACCTCAAATTACAGGACACAACGATGGTAAGAAGTAAGAGCCCTTGTTTTCAAGCATAGCAAAGATGTCAACTGGCCACCAAAAGCTCTTCCCTCCTCTTCCTGGGCATCTGAATGCCCACCTATGCTGCAGTTGGGTCATTTAGATGCCAAAAAACTTGGCAAAAAATAGCACCATGAAAATATATGTCCCTGGAATGCCCACAGGACAGCTCCATCAGCAAGGTGGATCACCTACACTGGAACTATGAAGGGAAAGATACCAGATTCTTTGCTGATGTTATCAATGGGTCCTTCCCTAATGAGCACAACAAGACATTTTCAGGCAGTGAGCTGACCAGGACTCTTAGGACCTTGCAGACCCAATCTTGAGACCCTTTAAGCCAGGATCTAACACAGTTCATTTTTTTTAACTGTTCAACACTGAGCTGGGTTCCTTTTTCTTCAACACTAGACCTCTAAATCTCAGTGATCTACATTCCATGACAGCCCTCTCACTAGCCTAAAATCTCAGTTCCTTGACTTTCTCACTTTTCTCGGCCTTGTCCTCCAATCTTCCTCACCAACTACAGAACAAGGCCTTCACATTTTGGTCTGGGAAACTCTGTACACTCTTAGAAGTATTGAGGAGACCAAGGAGCTTTTGTTTATTTGTATTATAACTGATGTATGCCATATCATAAATTACAACTGATAGGTTTTTTTTAAATAAAAGTATCAAGTTTATTACATGTAACATAACATTTTAATGACAACAATTACATTTTCCCCTCCCAAAACAGCTGAATTCACACAGTATCTGCTTCCGTGTTTCATCAGTGTGATTGTAGTATATCATGAAATTTTGGCCTCACACAAACATGTAGTAACTGGAAAAGGAAAGAACATTTTAAAGCCTTTTCAAAGAAATGGATACTACACCAAAACTCAACAACTCTTAAAGGTTAGTTGCAACACAGAAGCTGAAATCACACCAATGAAACTGCTTCCTATTCCATTAAAAGCCATTCACTTGTACTTGAAATGGTTCTTTTAACCATGCATGCATTAGTTATTTGGAAAACATCACTTCCCTGAATTTTATAGACTTTCCAAATGTTCACACATTTGATGTATAATCAAAAATTCACATTCATTAAAAGTCACTCAGGGTTTTCTCCAGAAGTTTCCCCCTTGGGTGGCGGTGGAGCTGGTAACCAGGGTGGCAGTGTCTCAGGCAGCTGCAACAGTAATTTAGGGATGGTGGCGGCTACAGCAGGACCTACAACAAACAGCCCAGCGGTTTTTCCAGAGCTTCTCAGATAGTCTGATCGACGAGGAGGACCCCAGGCAGCGTTAGAGGAGCTGACTAAGGCTTTGGAACAGAAACCAGATGATGCACAGTAGTATTGTCAAAGAGCTCATTGTCACATTCTCCTTGGGAATTACTGTGATGGTGCTGCAGATGCAAAAACTTCTCTCAAACTCAACCCCAATAATTCCACTGCTATGCTGAGAAAAGGGATATGTGAATATCATGAAAAAAACTATGCTGCTGGTCTAGAAACTTTTACAGAAGTTCAGAAATTAGACAGTGCAGATGCTAATTTTATTGTCTGAATTAAAAGATGCCAAGAAGCACAGAATGGATAAGAATCTGAGGGGAGGACTCAATCAAAAATCAAGTATGACTGGTATCAAACAGAATCTCAGGTAATCATAATACTTAGGGTTAAGAATGTTCAGAAGAATGATGTAAATGTGGAATTTTCAGAAAAAGAGCTGTCTGCTTTGGTGAAACTTCCTTCTGGAGAGGATTACAATTTGAAACTGAGACTCCTGCGTCCTATAATACCAGAACAGAGCACATTTAAAGTACTTTCAACAAAGATTGAAATTAAAATGTAAAAGCCAGAGGTTGTGAGATGGGAAAAGCTAGAGGGTCAAGGAGATGTGCCTACGTCAAAACAGTTCATAGAAGATGTAAACAACCTATATCCGTCATCATCTCATTATATAAGAAATTGGGATAAATTGGTTGGTGAGATCAAAGAAGAAGAAAAGAATGAGAAGTTGGAGGGAGATGCAGCTTTAAACAAGCTATTTCAGCAGATCTAGTCAGATGGCTCTAATGAAGTCAAATACACCATGAACAAATCATTTATGGAGTCTGGTGGTACAGTTTTGAGTACCAACTGGTCTAATGTAGGTAAAAGGAAAGTTGAAATCAATCCTCCTGATGATATGGAATGGAAAAAATACTAAATAAATTAATGTGCTATCACTGTAAAAAAAAAAGAAAAAGTCACTCGGTATTGGGAAGTTTCCAACACCAAGCTCACTTAAATTAGCTTGACTTTTCTCACTGGCAACAGATACTGTCAATTGTTTCCCTTGTAATGAGTCTTGATTCCCTCTTTTTTGAGAAAATGTCTGCCAAATACCCAAGTCTGAATGAGCACAGATTTTTTCAAGGAAAAAATGTTCCACGAAAAAAGTGACTAGTTCATATCACAATGCAATTATGCAAGAGCTTTTCCACAAGACAAAGTACTTGATTAAAACTGCCCATTTTGGCCGGGGATTTAGCTCAGTGGTTCCGGCCCCTGCCTCACAAGCACAAGGTCCCGAGTTCGATCCCCAGTACCCAGTACCAAAAAAAACCTGCCCGTTTTGTCAAACAGAGTATTAAAAAGACATGTGTGCAAAGGTGAGATCTGATAAACTGACACAATAGTTTTACAGCTTCATCAATGACATTTTTAAGTATCACCAGCTTCAAAAATTATATTTACATCACAGAGTTCACTGTCACTGCCTTGATTCAACACAGGTACTAGCGGTTTTTGTCACTGCTTTCTACCATCAGTCCACATGTCAACACACTGAAAAGAACAGATGATGCCTTAGTACTCCTAGAAAGTGGTTTCGACCTCACAGCCTCAGGGATCCCCACAGTCCATTCATCACACTCAGAGAACTGCTGGTCCAGTACAAGGACTGTACTCTCTGTAGTTCAATTTCAAAAATGAAACTAACTACAACCTCTTCTCTGTTCAATTAACTCCAAGTCTTTCCTTGCATAACCCTACTCCCCTCTTTTTTTCCTCTTCAGACTCATCTACAACACCACAATCCTAGTCAAATCTACTCTCTCCTACTCAACCTGCATTAGGAGCTGACAATAGCTAGGGGAAAAAAAAGACCACATACTGTCTGGGCTCACTTTTAAATCATAACCACTAATAAAAAGCAAATTCCTACTATCACAAGTCCTTAATATCTACAGTCAAAGACTCAGAATTAAATCACTGGGTGTGGTGGCACACCCTGTAATCCCAGCACTGGAGAGGTTGAGGCAGGAGGATCTCAATGAGTCCAAGGCCAGCATGGGCTGCATAGTGAGCTCAAGTCCAGGCTGAACTACACAGCGGGACCCTGCCTCACACACACACAAAAAAAAGACTCAGAATTTAAGATGATCACGTCATATTTTCTCCTCTCTTTAAAACTCCTAACACCTCTTCCTCCCTCTTAACACTCTGGTGATAACCCTGCCCCTTATTTAAAGTGAAATACAAGAAAACATCCTCCCACAAATTCTATCAACCTATTTGCAAATACACCTCATCCTGTGCCTTCTCTTCTTTTAGAAAGCATCTCCAGTTAGTCCATGCCTGTAGCTAAGGCCAGCTTCCCCACTTAGGCACTGGGTCTCTTCTCCTTCCTCTACCCAATGACAATATTCTTACAAGTCTTCCCTCCTCCTTCCACATTACAACACGTTCTCTACTGGATCATTTCCAACAATTTACAAACATGCTGTAACACTTTCTAACTTAAAGCGGGGAAAAAAATTCCCATTATCCCACATCTGTCAGCAACAATGTCCTCTTTTTCCTCTCCCTCCTCTCCAGCAAAACTCAGAGGCAAAACTCCAAGAACTTTTTATTCATGCCATTTCCAGTTCTCCCATTTTCTTGAATCCATTCCAATCAGATTTTATCCCAATCTCTCCATTGACACTCACTTGTCCAGGTCACCATCATTGACGCCCTTGCCAAATTCAAAGATCAATTCTCAATTATCTTACTCAAACTGCTGCACTTGATCTAGCTGACCACTTCCTCCTTCACACCCTCCACTGTCCTCTGGTATTCAGTAAAAACGAAGTTTTTGAGCTTCCTCAGGGCAAAGTATCTCAGTGCTAAGAAACAGACTGAGTTGGGTGGTTTCTTCGGAGGGGTGAGGAGAGGGGAAGAAAGGAAGTTCACTTCCTTTTAGACATCAAATCTGAAAGGGTAATAGATGATCTGGGGAGAAAGGGCCTCAGCTGTCCGTACAGCCTGAGACTACCTCCTGCTTCTAATCTCTAGTCAGTGACCACAACGGCTGACTGGTGGAGTGAGGAGACCAAAAAATGGAGGAGGGCGATGGTAGGGAATGTACTTGCTAACACTCACGTGCACTCTACGACGCAATCTTTTAGGTGAGATCCCTATTTCATGCAGGGGGGACTGAACAGAAACTTACTCAAAATCACACCGCTATTAAGGGCACAGCTAAGATTTGAGGATAAGGGTGTACAATTTTAAAGCTCAAGCTGACTTTCTTTTTCTTTTGGGGGGGTGGGGTTCTAGGAGTGACCCCGGGGCTTCGGTCTGGCTCTACTCTTACGCTGCCCCAAGCCTGAGCGCAGGATTACGCTGCTTTCCGGCAAAAAAGCACCAGGACGCTCCAGCTGGAGGAGCAACTACTTAAACCCTCTAGACTACGAGTCTCCTCCAAGTAAACAGCGAAGGTAACAATCCAAGCTTAGTGGGCGGTTCTCCATGCCTCATTTCCAATTTGTCTCCGTCGCCCGCGTATGATGCTCGCTGGGCGGCAGGCGCGGACTACGGTGACGGCCGGCGATGACTCCGTGGACCCACCTGTCACCTGCCCGTGACCGCCGCCCCCTCGCACACCGGGCCGACCCGTGCCGCCTCGCCACTCCCGACCTGATACTGTAACTCCGCGGGGAACAGCCTCACCTCCCCTTCCCCGCCAGACCCACGAGTCACCTTCAGCAGGCACCCGCGGTCATAGTGTTCGCAGCCCCGCCGCCTTGTCTCGCACGCAGTCGCCGCCATCGCCGCCGCCGGAGGCACCCCACCGGTCGACCCCGCCGCCGCCCTGCGTGGAAGGCGGCCGTCACATGACGTTACTTCCGGTCTCCGGCGGGCGGAAGTGAGCGCGCCGCTTCCGCAGCTAGTCGCCGACCGTTCTGACGGCCTTGCTCGTTCCTCTGAGCTTTGCTCTTCCCCGCCTTGCTTCCCGCCACGTCTCGTAAACTCTCCCTGCCGCGCACCGCCTGGCGCTTCCAGGCCTCCCCCTGCCTAGGATTCTTTCGGATGCGCGTGAGCGTGAACCTGCGCGGGACACCGCGGGGGGAAAGTGAGCACTGCGGCTTGGGTCTCGGAAATGACATGGGGAGGTGACAGGGCGGGGACGTGGGGGTGGGGGGCGGCCAGGTGTGCGCTGGGGGACGCGGGGGACCTGGTCAGATCCTGGAACCAGAAGACAGGGCGGGTCGGAGGACCAGGATCCCCCAGGGATCCGGCCAGGAGGAAGCGCGGGTCCGGAGAGGAGCGGCCGCAGTCCAGGTGAGGATACCGCCCGTGCCAGTGCTGGCGAGCGTTCCCTGAACGCTGGCAAAGGTGGATCCACACACACTCCCTCCCAGCCTTGGAGTCACCGACGCTTCCCTCTGTAATTGTCTTTCAGCGCTGTGATGAGCTGCTGAAGTCATGGTGAAATGCTGCTCAGCCATCGGATGCGCCTCTCGCTGTCTACCCAATTCCAAGTTGAAAGGGCTGACCTTCCACGCGTAAGACCTGTTGCGGCCCACCAGGCGCTTGCCCTGCACAGCACACGGCTAGTCCAGGGTGCAGCGCCAAACTTCAGTCCCCAAAGTGCCAGGGCCACTATTCTGGATAGTCCTATCTCCGGATAACCGTTTTGTGTCCTTAAAGTTCTACTTCTAAATGAGCTTTTTGTTAAATTTGCAGAGACAGTGATACCTTTACCCTTTAGTAAATTAGTGTAAGGTTTAAGATAACTGCCAAGGTGTCACACTCGTTAAAAAAGTACTATGAAACTCAACTTTTGCTAAAGTTATTATTTTGTGTTTTAACATTGTATTTTCTTTAAAGAAAAGGTCAGCGTTGCTTACGAAATATGAAGGATTTTTGCTCGAATATGTTGTCCTTTCTATTAAGAAACAGATGATCAAGCTTAGCTTGTAAAGTACAAATTATGGTTCAGACCAAGCATTCTTTAGCAGTAGTGCAGATAAGATGATCTTTATGTTAGCCGTTTCCCTGGCAGTGATGAAGAGAGTAGTAGGATTTAATCATTGTTCCCTTGCTAGAAGTTCATTTGGCCTCTTTTGTGCCAGGCCTGTGCTATGGTGCTAGAGAAAGATCTGCTAGCTTGTTTTCTGAGTATGTATACCCACCTTATTCCAAAAAAATATTTGAACCAGCTTGGAGAATTGAGAAAGACATGATTATTGGTCTTCAGATGTCTCATTATATTTCTGATAGCCAGAATTCCAGATTCTACTACATTTCTTTTCATTCATCCACTAAGCATTTATAGACCTGCTGAGCATTAAATGGTGGGCTGAGCAATTCTCTGGTGTTGATAAAGTACACAGGACCCTATTCATTGGGGATCATTTGTAGATATCACTTCATACAGGAAAAGCCCAGGATATTTTTTATCATCTATAGATGGAGAAAAACCTTTAATTGTGGATCTTTCTATAACATGCTAAATATCTGTTGAAACTTTTCTCTCATAATATGAGAAAAATGAGGGCCACATCTGCAGATTTGGCCGAAATTCAGAATATTAAATCTGAATTACACGTACATAAATCATAGCTTCCTGAATATTGCAGTTCCCAAGAGTTGTGACCAACTAGGTAAGGAATTAGTTTAGCCACGGTCATAGAGGACAGCTTCAATTGAAGTATATATCAGTAGTGATTAGTTTTAAGTTTTTTGTGTGTTTTTTTCTAGATTCCCCACAGATGAAAATGTCAAAAGAAAATGGGTATTAGCAATGAAAAGACTTGATGTGAATTCTGCAGGTATGTGGGAGCCTAAAAAAGGAGATGTGTTGTGTTCAAGGCACTTTAAGAAGACAGATTTTGACAGAAGTGCTCCAAATCTTAAACTAAAACCAGGAGTCATCCCGTCTATATTTGATTCCCCATACCACTTACAGGTTGGTTTATGAGATACTACTTAGCATTAATGCTCACTTTCAGTGGCATGATTGAAGATCTTCAGCCCTGTTGCCTATGTTTCTATTGTTTATTTATCCATTTTCACAATGTGTAGTAGGAATGTTTTACCGGTAGGCACTCAAATACGGGTGCATGACGAAGGCTTGGTAAAGTACACTGACTTAGGAATTGACATAACTCAAGATTTGTGTCTTAAAAATGGAAGTTAACCTAAGGTTGAGGGCAACCCATTTGGGACCCCTCCAATCTCTCAGGAGCTATTCCTATTCCCCAATAAATTGTCCTACTCTTAACCTGCAGGGGGCGGGGGGGAGAGACATAAACAACGTAAGAAGGTTGAACAGAAGTTCCACATTGGCAGTACGAAAGAAGTCAAGAGCAAAACCACTAACAGAATTACAGTGTGCTTCCAAGAGCAGCCAGGTACACAAGTGTAAAGTCTAGGGATCAAAAGAAAGAAAACCAAGATAAAAAGGTAAGAACAGAAGGAAAAAGAAGTCAGAAAAAGAAAAGAGAAGAGTTGAATAAGTAAACTGTAGTTGAGTACATTTTCTTCTCAGGGATGGTACCTGGGTTGGCAGCCTCTCCCTCAGTATCTCTTGCGGGCAGATATTTGGGGACATGTTTGTTTCCCAAAACTGGACAGAAAGACAGTTCCCATGTGAGAAACTCAAGGAGAAATCCCCCAAGAACTTTCTGTTGCCAGCAAGAGACACAGATGGTCCTGAACCCTGCTGCTCCCTTCTGTGCAGGCTGCATCTCTGCGGTGATCACATCTCATTGCCTCAGCTGCAGATGGCTGGCATCCTTCCACCTCAGCAGATGTGCAGGATCTTGTGCAGTTAGCTTCAAGGATGTCTTTTTCCCTTTCTTTTTTCCTGCCACTAACAGTGTTATCTAGCTATAATATAAAAGGGAACTTAAGAAATATGGGCCTAATAAATCAATTTTTTTTTTTCTGAGACAGGATCTTGCTATGAAGTTCAGAGGCTGGGCCCAAACTCATGGCAATCCTCCTGCCTCAGCCTCCTGGGTGCTAGGATTACAGGCATGTGCCACCACAAATAAATCAAATCTTAAGTTGCTAACTTCTAAAATCTATTTCCTTATAACAAGATAATAGGAAATTAGGTGATAGAAGTGAAATAAAAATACTACACAAATCATCCAGAGACAATACTTTGAACACCTGGATGTGTACTTTTCCAGTCATTTGTACACGTTCTGTATAAATTCATTTGTATTTCTATACATCTTACACAGTTACATTTTGTGTCTTTTCCTTTGTTTGCTTTCATTTGTTCTGTGTTTTCACATTTATACAGTGCTTGCTATGTGTCAGCGTTGCTCCAAGCACTTTACGTACATACTAACTTAGTTGTTGAAACACCCATAGGCAGAGAGTACTCTTAATTCTCATTGTCTTGCCTGAGGACTCAGAAGCCCAGAGAGCTGGGATGCCTTCCCAGAACCACACTTAGGTTAACAACAGAGGCTGGATTAAAACCCAGGCACTTTAGCCCCAGGCTTCATCTTAACTACTGAGCTCCATGATGTTAAGTGCAGTATTTGCCCATGATGATAGCTTTTAAATGTTAGTCTTTGCAGAAATTATTCAGAGGGTTTGTTTAAAATACAGAACTTTGTGCCCCACTCCTGGGGAATTTAATTCAGTAAGTTGGAGAAATTGATTCAGTGAGCTTACACTTTTTAACAAGTACCCTACCTTGTGCTACAGATCGGTGGATCATTTGTTTAAGGTAAACCTATATAGAACATCAATTTTAAAATTCTACATACGTGGGAAAGTGCACACATGAAGTGTGCAGATCACTGAATTTCACACTGAATGGTAAATACATTCATGTGATTCACCTCAAACCAAGGAGTGACACTTCCTACCAGTGTCCCAGAAGCCTTCCACATGGTCTTCCCCACTCACTGTCGAGTCAAGGTAACTAGCACCTGGACCTGTATTACTACCAGTTATGTAAATGGAGCACTGTGTACAGTGTGCTCTGTGGCTTCTTTAGCTCAACACGTAGGATTCATCCATGCAGTGCACAATGGCTTACCGTTTATTTTCTTTGTGATGTAGTATTCCTTTAAATGAATAAATTCATTTCTCCATTCAACTATTGATAAACATTTAGGTTTTTATTTTGAAGCTATTATAAATGGTATAGCTATGAACACTTTTGTCCTTATCTCTAGTGCACTCTACACATTTTGGTAGAGTGTATACATGCTTCTGTTAGAAATGGGAATTACTGAGGTCAGAGATGTATAGGTTCAGTTTGAGTAGATACTGCTATCGTTTTCCAAAAGGATTTTCAAAGGTACAGTCCTACCTTCAACACATAAAATTTCCTCTGTATCCACATTCTTGCCAGTACTTGATGGGACAGGGGGTTTTAATGCCCGTACAACAATCTATCCTATGTGTGAACATTATTTCACTTTGCCAGTCTTCACTGTTGTATTTGGTCATCATCTTTCACCAGTGTAAACAGCACTGAAATGAATATTATTCTAGCTGAATTTTTATTCATATCCTTATTTCCTTGAACTAAATTCCTGGAAATAAGATGGTTGAGTATAAAGATTTTTAAAGCCCTGCTTCTGATACAGATCTCCCAAAGGCTCCCTAGAAAGCTTGAACCAACCTACTTACCACCAGGTATGTATGAGGGCGTCTGCCCACCCAAGACCTTAGTGCACTGTAAAATTGACACGCAAAAAAAGACCTATTGTTTTCATTCATCTTTCAACACTAGTGAAGTTATGTATTTTTTCATGTATTTATGGAGCATTTATGTCTTGAAAAAGTTACTCAGGTCCTCTTCTATATTTTTTTAAGCTGTTTTGAAAAAAGAACAGGCCATCAATTATTTAGCTGCCATTTATGTTACAGTGACCTTTTGTCTTTATTTCTGATTATGGCTTTGATTTTTTTTTTGAAATTTATATTTTCTATATAGTCAATAGAATATTTTTTCTTGTATGATTTTAGCTGTCCCCATCTTAAGAAAATATAAATGTTCCCTATTTCTAGTTCCTCATGGTTTTCATTTTTACATAAATTTTTAGTACTCCGGTTTCATTGTGGTAACATACTATGTTTCCCAAAACAATACCTACCTAGAAAACAAGTTCTAGCATGATTTTTTTTTTGGTACCGGGGATCAAACTTGGGACCTTGTCCTTGCAAGGCAGGCGGCGGAACCACTGAGCTAAATCCCTGCCCCTATAACTGCTTTTCTTAAATAGTTTTTACATGGTTTATAGCCTTTCTCCCATTATTTAGACTGCCACTAAAGGCATTTATCTGCTTTATCAATGTCTAGATCTGTATAGTCCTAAGAAAACAGACCACTATTTGAGCTATTTTATTGTGTACCATATTTTCAGTAGCTTAGAGGGCATATCCTGCCTGATTTTCACTGTTCAATTTCAGGAAAATTTATGTTTCCAAATGAACTATAGAGTGTCAAAATCTGATTGGAATTTCTAAAAGCCTTTTTCATGAAAATAGATAAGGTATTCATTAAACTGCACAAAGTTAAGAAAATTTAAGTAGCCAGGCATGGTGTCACTAACCTGTAATCCCAGCACTCAGGAGGCTGAAATAGGAGGATCCCTTCAAGTTTGAGGCCAACCTGGGCTACATAATGAGTTCAAGACATCCTGAACTGCATTGTGAGGCCTAGTTTGGGCAGGGGGGATAGAAGGCAGCTGTAAATGGCACATGCTTGTTAACCTCAGCACTCTTGACAGCCTGACGCAGGAAGGTCACAAAGTCAAGCCCAGCCTGGGCAACTTAACATTTAACCAAGACCCTCTCAGAATAAGAAATGAAATAGCTGGGGATGTAGCTCAGTGCAAAGGTTCTGGGCTTAGTCCCCACTCCGGAAAACAAAAATTAAGTACCTCAGTGATTGTTATTAACTCTTAACAGGACAAAAAAGAAAAGCTTCATTGTAGAAAAAACTTCACCCTCAAAACCCTTCCAGTCACAAAGCACAACCACCAGCTCGTTGGTGCTTCCTCATATACTGAAGAATTCCAATCCCAGTTCATTTTTGTAAGTAAAATTACTTACTGAGCTAATGTCATTGCTTTTAAGATGAATATGTCCTATCCATTAAGATCAAACTTTTCAGAATCACCAAAAGCTAGGAATATAGGTGTTTGTGAGTTTTTTTAACATTTAATAGGTAAATATTGCTTCCCAAGGTCATTATAATTTGTATGTATGCAAATGTAGTACAGAATTACTTAATCCTTTACTAAATTAAATCCTTAGTTCAAAAAATCCCTTTGGAAAGGTATTTTTTATGTTTTCTGTATGGAAATACCTAGTTAAAATATTTATTGTTTTTTTGAAAAACAGTCATACACCTACAGATACCTACCTATGTTTATTTATTCATCTATTGCCTGTTCGTGTTAGTGCCAGACCTGGAATATAAATCTAGTTTACTATAGCTTTATAACAATTCTTAAAATTGTATTAGTTCTCCCACTTTATTCTTAAAAGGTGTTTTGGCTGTTCTAGGTTCTTTGCATTTTCATACGAATTTAGAGTCATGTTATAATTTTCTTCCCAAAAGTCTGCTGGAATTTTGGCCAGTTTTGTGTTTAACCTGTAGATCCATTTGGGAAGATTGACATCTTAGTGGTCTTTCAGCACATGAACTCAGAATATCTCTGTTTAGGGTCTTAACTTCTCAGCATTGTTTTGGTTTCAGGACCCAGGTGTTTCAGTTGATCAAATTTATTCCATAGTATTTTGTATGTTTGGATGCTGTTATAAATGGCACTATTTTTAGGGTCGAGGATTTAGCTCAGTGGTTCCAGTGCCTGCCTCACAAGCGCAAGGTCCCAAGTTTGATCCCTGGGATCAAAAAAATAAATATATAAATAATAATAATAATAAATGGTACTATTTTGTTTACTACTAGATATGGAAATGAAATTGACTTTTGTGCAGTGATGTTGTATCTGGCAGACTGCCCCAACTCAAACATATTAATTACAGCGGATTTCCTACTTAGATCATCATGTTCTCAGTGATTGAGGAGTTTCAGTTCTTCTCTTGTGTGGATGCCGGTCATTTCTTTTCTTTGTGGTACTACCCTGAGCCTTCAAGACTGCTGAATAGAGGGACTGAAAGCTTATCTCCTGCCTTGGTTCCCGTTGTTGGAGGAAAGCGTCCCATCTTTCACAGCTGTGATCTTAGCTGTGGGTTTTGATGAATGCCTTTTATCCCTTTATCCAGTGGAGGAGGTTTCTTCTGTTCGCAATCTGCTAAGAGTCTATGTTAGTTTCACCAAATGCTGTCTCTGTGTCTGTTGAGTGATCATACAATGTTTCCTTTTTAGTCTGTTAATATAATGAGTTACATAAATTGATTTTCAAAAATTAAGCCAATCTTTTGTTCCTGGAATAAACCTTATTTTCCTCACTCATTCATTATCCCTTTTCTATGTTGTTGGATTCTGTTTGTTTTTTGTCTAGTCTTTCTTTATATGTTCAAGAAAGATATTTTGACCTATAATTTTTTGTTTTCTTTTGTTTTTACTTTCATATATTTGTCTAGTTTCAGCATCAGAATAATAACTGATCTCAAAAATGTGTTGTAAAATATTGCTGACATTTTTTATATTCTGGAAAAGTTTGTGTAGGATGTTCCTATTTCTTCTATAAATATTTGATAAATTTCTTTCTGTGAAGCTAGACTTGTAGTTTTCATTGTGGGAAAGTTGGGTTGTGTTTTTTTTTTAATAGTTTGTGTCCAAAGAATTTGTCCATTTCATCACAGTTGTCTAATTTATTAGCTTAAGGTCGTTCATACCATTGTTGTATTAATCCTTTTAGTAACTATAGAATCTATATTGATACATCAATCATTCTGATCATTTCTGGTCATTTCTGTTCTTGTGTTGCTGATCAGTTTTCCTAGAGATTTAATAGTTTCATTGATCTTATCAATGATTAGCTTTTACTGATTTTCTTTCTACCTCACTGATTTCTACTCATTGATGTTACTTCTTTTTTTTGTACTTATTTCAATTTGCTCACCTGTTTCCAATCAAAGTGGAAGCTGAAGTTATTGTTTGAGACTTACTAGTGTAGGCATTCAGTGGTATTATTTCTCTCAAAGTATTTCTTCAGTGGTATTAATTTAATGATATTAATTTCTCCCTAAGTATTGTTTCCCCACAAATTATGTGTGTTGTGTTTTCATTGTCACTCAGTTGGAAATACTTTCAAATTACATTTTGATTTGTTCTTTGTTATTTGTTATTTTTAAGTGTGTTATATAATTTCCATATATTGGAAAATTCTGTTGTGGCTAGAGGCTATCCATTGCATAGCCTGACTCCCAGTGCATGTATTGAGGTGTATTTTCCAGCCCACGGTGTGGTCTGTCTTGGTAAGCATTCTCTGTGTGTGTGCAGCAGAGTGCCCTGTGGTCTTACCTGGGATGCACTAGTCAGTTAGGTCAAGCTGTTTGATATTGTGTAAGACTTCCTTATCCCTACTGAATTCCTCTCTACTTATTTTATCTGTTTTTGAGAAAGAGTGTTAAAATGATGTAATATAATTGGAGATTTGTCTGATTTTCCTTGCACTTGTCAGTAATTTTACTTATTATATTTGAAGCACTATTACCAGGTATATTAAGATTGTTAGATTTGATAAATCAACCCCTTTGTTATAACAAAACTACTTTCATTATACTTGGTAATCATCTTTGCTCTGAGCTGACTTTTGACTATTGTTACTCTTATCAGTGTTAGTATCTTTATCAGCTCTTTTCAGTGTTACTTTGAAGTGCATTTTTTTGGTAGGCAGCATATACTTTGGGTTTTGTTCTCATTTGTTTTTAGTCCAGACTGATAATCTTCCTTTTAATTGGATTATACTGAGGGCAGATCAGTCAAACCCTCAGCTACTTTTTAGGGGGAAAGATGAGGAATAAAAGAGAGGGACAGTTTTCTAGATATGAAGGGGAACAGGGAGGAGACCTGTCTCTAGCAGACAGACTCAAATAAAACTCTGAGGTTGGCCCGCCTTTATTAGGCAGTGAGAAGGGGGAGCGGTTACACGGGTTTTCATGAAACAGCAAGTATAGAGAATGAGTGGATAGGGATTACATTTTTTAGGGTGTTTTTTGGTTTGGTTTGGTTTGGTTTGGTTTGGTTTTAAAAATATTTTGTACTAGTTTTGATTAATTATGATATGGCTTGGTTTACTTTTCTTAATATTTCTTATGCTTGTGTTGTTAAGGTTTATTATCTTTGGATTTATATTTTTCATCAATCTTAGAAATTTTGGGGCCATGATTCCTTCAGATTTTTCTATGTATCCCACCTTTGCTTTCCTGTCCTTTGAAGGCTCTAATCACATACATACTACATTGCTGAAGTTGTGCTACGGAGTTCTGTACTTGGATTTTCATTTTTCTTTTGTTTTTACTATTTCCTCTTCTCTATAACAGCTCTTCAACATTATTATTTGGTATCTTTTATAAGATATGTTAGTGTTATTTTCCGTGTTTTCAATTGAAAATGAAAAACATATCTGTACACAGCAAACCTTTAACATAACCATAAGTCTCAACAGGAGTTAAATTATCACGGCAAAACTTGGAGACCAGAGTCCTCTGCAGATCCCCTCTGCCCCAAATGCAGACCTGTCCCGATGTTCTTTGCCTTTTATCTTTCATAAAGTGCAATAGTCATCAAAGTAAAGTAATAGATAAGAATTAAGCTCACCGGTGCCACAAGGAATGAAGCTATGTAGTCAGTGCAGGGATGCAGGATTTGTAGCAAATGTAAGCCCAGATCATCTGTAATGTTCTGTGTACCTTGTGCCTTCCTGTTCTTGGGAGAGCAGAGAGGCCTATGTACTACTTCCACCCCATCTTCTCCTGGAGTCTTTACGCCTCTAAATGTCACCCACTCAGAGACCTTTGCTAAGAATCATAAGTGAAAAAACAGCCAAAACCTGGTAACAAGCTTCTATCTAATGCTAGTGTGTCTGTTGAATAGCTTAGTGTTTATGTTTTCAGGAACACAGCTACAGTGTAATGGACAGTCCAAAGAAACTCAAGCATAAGTTAGATCATGTGATCAGCCAGCTAGAGGATACCCAGGAAAGTCTGCGCAGTGTTCTAGACCGAGAAAAGCATTTCCAAAAATCACTGAGGAAGACAATCAGGAACTTGAAGGATGAATGTCTCATCAGCCAAGAAACAGCAGAGAGACTGGATGCATTCTGCTGGGAGCCTCCTCAGGAGGCCACAGAGCATGACTGTTCCTCGAGGTAGTGCCATGCTGCGCTCTGCCTGCAGTGGGCATTGCTGCAGCCCTTCAGAGCATAATTCTCACGTGTGTCACGGAATAGTCTCTGTCACTGAAGTGCTGCTTGGGTCCGTCCCTTGCAGAGTTACACATTATGGTTGTTATCCATAGATGTTTTTGATGATGTGCAGAAATACCTATGTGGTAATTCAATGTTTTGTGTCACTTGTGATACTTAATGTTTTTTATAGACTTAAACTAGTGCCAGATCACTATTGTAAGATGTTAAAATCTCAAGAAAATTCCATAGAAATAAGGAAATTATATTAGCCACGTTAAACTCTGGTGGTAGGAACCAGACACTCCAGCAGCAACAGAGTTTTTGTTTCAAGTGAATACCTTTAATTATACTTGCTTTATGGTAAATAGGGTTTTATTTTAAATATATTTTAGTGTAAAGCAGAATTTATTGTAACAACATCTGTCTTGCGTCCAACCCAAGATGCTTTCATTAATAATACTAAAAGGCATTTTTACATGGCTTCTTATAGTACTGACCCTAAGAATAAGATATAGGAAAAATGAATAGGCTTTTAAAATTGAGAGCCGATTTAAGAAGATCCTTCACAAGGGTACCACCTTCCTCCTCAAGAGGGACACTCAGATGTAAACCAGAGTTATTTTAAAAACAAACCTAAAAAATGGTATAAGTGTGATTTTAAGCAGTCAGTTGCCCCAGTACTCTCAGCATTTGGCTCCCTGACTGTTACTACGCCATGAAGGTCTGCCTCAAAGTCTGCATGCTGGAGTTAGCCAGATACTTGAATTGTTGCTTTGTATTGTATGGAAAGTAATATTGCTGACATTTTTTTAAATATAGAAGAAACCATTTGAAAATTAATAATTCTGGATCTTCCAGTGGAAATAGTAGTTAGGAGAGTAAATTATTGTCCAGAGGCTTTTAGAGAAATAGATATATAAAAAGGCAGTTTTAGAATAGCTTCTTACTAAATATACAAAAGTCACTTAGCTATTTTTTGATTGACTAGAGTGTCAGAAATATACCTTCTCTCCTAATTTCATGCCCAAATAGGTAAAACTGAGTAATAAGTTATACTGTGAACTAGAATAAAACTCAGCCACAGTCACCCTCTTCTGGGAAGCACATGACCATCACTCGTCATCCGTGCTGTAGTAGTTAGCATTTGATTGCCAGATTGTCATTGTATTAACCAGAAACTAACTGCATTTTATATTCTTTTCTTCATTGCAGTTTTATTTATGTTACATTAGTATCAGTACGGATATGGTTGCTTGAATTTTTGTGTTTGTTAAATACAAATACAAATTTTCTATGTTTTAATGTGTATTTTTATGTAGGTCTCCAAATCTTCCTTCTAAATGAGATTTTTATCCACATTTAAAAGATTTATGCTAAAGGGAGATCACTGAAGTCATAATCATTTTACTACCCTAAAAATTTATTATCTATTACTTATTTTAGTTATTTAATTTTGAATTCATAATGGCACTCTAATGAGATCTCCAGGTCTAACCTTAGGTTTTACAGAGACACTTTAATGGGAATAGAGACTTCTTCACTCTGCTTATGAGCATACAGATCAAAGTCAGTGAGTGGATGTGGAGAAGAGTGAGTGGCCAGGCCCGAGCAGTGTCCTCAGTTCCAACACTGCTGCCTGTGTGAGGAAGGCCCTTCTAAGAGTCCCAGTTGCTGCCATACACAGTTGCCACCATCACTTCTGCTACTGTGTGCAGTGAGCTCAGCCCTCCTGTCTTTCTCACTGGACCTAATACCACTGACATGTAATTTGCCAAAATATTAGCATCCTTAAGAACCCAGAGTTCTTGATTCTTACTGAGAAAAGATTGCCAGCAGAAACCTGATGAAAACAGGGTCCTCAACATCTGCCGCTTGAATGCCTGGACAGCGGCCACATGGACCTCGGTCTTGGTCCTTGCAGGGAGATCCATCCTGTACAGTGAAGCCAGGTCACCCCAACCAGAGGTCCTCAGACAGCCTGAGCAGACCAAATGTTCAGGTGCTTTGCCTCATGAAGCAGTCACTGGGCCCAGAAGTGCACAGCCTGGGCGCAGCTCCGTGGCAAGCCAGGTACGACAGGCTTCAGGGTTCTGCTCACTGCAGGAGTCAAGGTCTGAACAGCAACTTGAGTTGCTAAAGTATAGTTTTACCATAGTCTTTCATTTGAGAAAAGATGGATTATATCAAATATTTAGTTTTAATAGAGATAAAATTCTTAAATAATTGAAGAGTGAAAAATCCATTTTTAAAAAATAAAATATTTTCTCTAGTAATGAGTCATGGTCTTTATTAATAAAAACAAATTAATGATTTTATTTGTATTCAATAAAGTAGGCAGGGAATGAGAACACAGGTACAAAGGTTTGCTTTCATTCCTTCTGTGTCTTTTCCCTCCCCAGTAACTAACAAGGGCCGCTAGGTCAGCTGACCTGAGTGGCAGTCACCTTTCACCAGTGAGAGCTGGCCCCTGCTCCCACCTGCTGGCAGTGCCTGCATACACAAGGGCGTAAGGGCAGGCGGTGTTCCGGGGGTTACACCTGCAGCTTTCAGGCCCCAGAGGGTTCTATCACAGCAGAGCCAGCAAGTTGTGATCCTTTGTTTTGTGTTTAGAGATTGGCTCTTGCTCTAGAATCCAGGTTGGCCTTGAACTTGCTGTTCTGCCGCAGACTCCTGGTAATTTGTAATCTACTTTAGAGAGGATGTCCTAGCATGCCCCCAGAACACTGGACACACCTCCCCAAAGTGTTACAGATACTGTAACCCCCTAAATTTTGTGGGTTTTTATCTCACCTAGAGCACATGTGCTTTATAAAGGCCTCCAATTTATTAGCCATTTTTAATTGTTTTGTTAGAATAACATAATCCATCAATGTAGTGACCTATGAATTTCCTTTAGAACATCTGCTGTCAGTCCTTACAGCATAACAGAAGCAGCAATACTAACATAGCCTCAGGACAGACAGGAACTGTTGTCTCCCAGGGACTAGGGACAGCAAAGCACACTCAGTCACACAGCATGGACACTGGCATTTTCATCTGTCCCAAAAGAGATGGCACAGCCACTCCAGTCAGGACTACTACTAGGTTGAGTTTGCTTCTGAACTGTCACCCTGCAGGATCTGTCTATATTTCACAGGGTGCAGTGTGTAAATTAAATGTCACGTGATGAGGGCCATCATTCCTGTATGCTGTAGGTCCATAAAGGAGGAGTTTAACTCTGTAATCTCTGAAACAGGTAGTATGCAAAACAGTTCATGTGGGAAGTGAAGCGTCACAAGGTTTTCTTGGTTGTCATCTGGGAGTTGGACTCGGAGACGTGTCGTTAAAAGTGACTCACTGCACCTTTACTGTTTGTGAAAGCAGTGTTTACACTATACACCTGCTCTACTTCAGAGAATCTGGAATCTGAGTACATCAGGCAGAGGATGTCTGACATGTCCTTAAGATGCTGGACACTGACTGTTAATGGGTTCCCCTGAGGTACAGCACTCCATGATGTCACAACTTGATGCCACCAAATTAAGTGTATTCTGTGTCACTTCACTGAGAGCACCATGGGAATCATACACCTGATTTCCTTTGGATCATGTGCCTTTTCCCTTTACTGGTTTGCCTTTTTTTCACATCCTTTTCCTGTAATCCTAGCCACAGCTACAACTATATGCTGAATTCTGTGACTCTTTCTGACAAATCATCAAAGCTTGGGGTGCTCCTGGACCTCAACACAGACATCCTTTCAGAATTGCCTGACATAGTCTAGATAGAGAAAGTTGGAGGTAAACTAGTACTGGTAGGGTCAGAGGCAGCCTGCAGGATTATCCCAATACCTAAAACAATGCCTTCCCACACCTGGGCACAATTGTATTGGACTGGTCTCATTTAATTAATACCTTTCATCCTGCAATGTCTTTAAAGTGCTCTCCTCCCTCTTCCTGCCTGAAGAAAGCATTATAGGTAATCTTCCAAACTGCAGTTCATCCAGTACCTACATATGACTCAAAACTCTGTCTGCACTCCATTTCTGCTGATTATATACTCCTAGCCACTCAGGCACAGCCCTTCCTTATCCACTCTTCTCCAAGTGGTTTCCTTGTGTAAAGCCGTTGTTTTTTTGTTGTTCTTTTTTTAAGCCGTTGTTTCTTAACTGGATCACTGGCTCTAATCTGTCTCCAGAAGTTTTTGCCCTTCATGTATATGTCAATAATTATATGAAGCACAAGTGGTTTAAAACCAGGTATGGCTGGGCATGGTGGCACACACCTGTAATCTCAGCACTCAGGAGGCCGAGGCAGGAGGATCACCATGAGTTTGAGGCCAGCCTATGCTACATAGTGAGTTCAAGCCCAGCTTGAACTGCATAGTGATACCCTGTCTCAACAAAATAACAACAAAAAAAACCCAGGTGTGGGTGCACACCTGTAGTCTCAGAGGTTGAGGTAGGAGGATCACTTGAGCCAAGTGTTTAAGGCCAGTCTGAGCAAGATTAGCCCTTTCTCAAAGAAGAGAAAGAAACAAGTAGCCTAAACAGCCTACTTGGGTGGAAACCTAACTATATGCTAGATACAGGCAGCTACTTTAAATACAAAAGCAAATAGGTTAAATTACAAATTAAAAGGATGTAAAAAGACGGTAACACTAATAAAAAGTTGGAGGGCTGAGGGCATAGTGAGTACACAGCACTTGCTCAGCATCTACAAGGCCCCCATTTCAAAAAGAAAATTGAAGTAGTTACACTAATTAAAAACCAGATTTCAGAGCAAAGAATATAAGCAGGGAAAGTGAGGGTTTTTTCATCATAATGAGTGGGTCTATCGAGACACAACTATCCTAATATTTATGGATCTAATAACAGATTCAAAATTCATGAAGCGACAACTGATAGAACTGCAATAAGTTGTCAAAAACAAGAGTATGGGTAAGGCTGGAAACAGCCCTTGAGGGAGAGAACCATGGTTCAGGGGGTCACCAAAATCAGTAGGGACTACGACATAAATAACATCCCCCTACCAAGCTGCACGCACCTTCATCCCCAGGATGTGTGAATACCATGTGTTCCTTACCTGCTTTACGGAGATGATTAACCCAAAGGTCTTGATGAGGGAGGATGATCCTAATTCTCCAGGTGAGGCCTTGGAGAGATGGGACACACAGGCATGAGCTGAGAAATGTGGGTGCCCTCTTAAGCTGGAGAGGAAAAGAAAATGAATCCTCCAAGTTTCCAGGGTGCAGCCATGTGGCTCCTTTCAGATTTCTGATCCCACAACTACAAGGTAATAAGGTCATGTCTTTTTTAAACCCCTAAATTGGCTCATGCCTCCAAGGTCTTAACACCTGCCACTTCTGCTTAGGGAAAGCCTGATTCTCTACCAAAAGAAGAAAGGAAATCTTCTCTGCCTGGTGGAGAAGAGGTGCAACAGCTCTTCTGTAGGTTCATAGAAAGAATGTGGTGTCCAGGTCTTCTGGGCCCAGGGCCAGGCCCTGACACCCACAGGCACCCAGTCCGTCTACAGTGATCTTGACAACTGTCGTATCTTGTCTGTTACACTGCTTCCTTTGCTTCCTTCCCCAACAGTAACAGCTGCTGTGGCTTGTTCTGGAGAACATCCTCAGCAGAAACATCTGGCCCCTGCTCACGCCTCACTCAGCAGCCCAGCTGTGCTCAGACCACAGCATTGTGCCCATTCAGTTTGTACCAGAGACAGCAGCTGAAGAGGAAGCACTGAGACTCCAGCATAGGCGGAAGTTCTGCCACACCATTTGCACACACGGGGGCTGGATGTCCGGGATATGTGAGGCGTTGGAGGAAATGAGGAAGACTCAGTCCCAGTCCTCCAGGAGGTGGCAGTCCAGTCCAACATCTCAACACCCACCATAGAGGGATCAGGATTACCTCAAGAGGTGTCTTCAGGTGGCCTGATGTGTTCTAGCTGTGTCATGTTTGGAAGGACAGCACATGTGCTCTGTAGATTTATAGCACAGTGTGTTATGTCTAAGTCTTGGAGCCTCATTTATTGATATTTATCTTTTCAGGCTCATAAAGGAGTCTGTCCCCTGGCATATTCAATGTAACAACCCTTCACATCCACTGCTTCCGTAGTTCTGTGCACCGCTGTGAGGACATGAGATGAATGAGAGAAGCATTCACCCCCCTCGGCACACAGGCCCTGCACAGGACGGTTCCTAGACAGTGGGGGGAGCACCGGGGCCAGCACAGTGCAGAGGCTGTGAAACCGATGGAGCCTCAACTCCACAGGAGTGTGTCGGATTCTCTCAGCACTCTCATCAGATCTGAGAGC